GATAAAGAAATTGTGGTTTATATCCACAATGTAGTACTACAGGGCAATGAGAAAGAACGAAATATGGCCCTTTGTAGCAACGTGGATAGAACTGGAGATTGTGATGCTAAGTGAAATAAGCCATACAGAGAAAGACAGATACCATATGTTTTCAGTCTTATGTGAATCCTGAGAAACTTAACCGAAACCCATGGGGGAGGGGAAGGAAAAAAAAAAGAGGTTAGAGAGGGAGAGAGCCAAAGCATAAGTGATTCTTAAAAACTGAGAAGAAACTGAGGGTTGATAGGCGGTGGGAGGGGTGGAGGGTGGGTGATGGGTATTGAGGAGGGCACCTTTTGGGATGAGCACTGGGTGTTGTATGGAAACCAATTTGACAATAAATTTCATATATTGAAAAAAAAGATTTATTCCAAGTAGTCATAGACGTGTGCAATACAAACTTGTAAAGCCTCAGTATCTCTGACTAATTAAATGTCTCTCTGATATAGCCAGTGGCAGGGGCTCTCATGATGCTGTTAACGACCTGTGAAATCTAAGCAGCTCACAAGTTCTAAGAGCACAAATTAGGAGCATGGAACCATAAAATAAAGACTCAGCTGTTCTTTTTAACATTTAGGGTTTACTATAACCAAATTGAAATATAATAGTTATGAGCCAAATTCCTATATAAAAAACTCAAACTTAGTGTGAAATGAAATTTAACAAAGTAGATGTAATATGAATGTACTAAAACAAGTGGGGAGAATAGAAATGCTAACAGGCACTTAAGTGCATGCTCTTTAAAACATGAAAATGTAGAAAAAGTAAGGAATTCCTCAGAAAAAGTTAAAGTTATGTATACAACTTACTATTACTGAATTTCATACATATCAAGAATTTGAATAGTTATATGAGATTCTATTAGCATATAAATGTCATATATATGTATGTATGTATATATATATATACATATATATATATATATACACACATAGATTAAATTCAAGCAATTCTCTTTTCCTTTAGTAACCTGCTAATCACAGCTACTGATTCTTTCTCCTCAGTAAATAGAAGTCTCAACTGATATATCTATATCTATCAACTATATATTAGTAGCAAAGGGGAATGTGTGTGTGTATGTACATATATATATATATATATGACATTTTTTTGAAGATGACAGGGAAAAAAATACTTTAATAAAGAGGCTGGGCTAAATTCCCATTTTTGTCTACTGTATATAAAACATTTGGAAACTTTAGTTAGTGAGTTAGGAATAAAGAGCACACTACGGTTATAAAAATATATAAAGTATATGATAACCCCATGAGAAAGTAAAAGCTACTTGTGAAACATAGTATGATAAAATAAATTCTGTCTCACATATTCAAATCTCTCACTGCTATAGCATTCATCGGTATTCAAATCATGGACATACATGCAGTCTGAATTCTCTGAAACAGCATAATAGAGGAAGCATATGTAGACCAAGAAACTGAGGTCAAAAGGGCTGAGTTGTCACTGGTTAAGGCTGGGGTCAGAATTTATAATCTCATGATTATCTTCTACATAAAACTGAAAACAATTTCCATTTGGATTTATAATATCTCTATTGCCCATTTTCTGAGATCTGACAATCCTATGAGAAGACACATAAAAAATTGAAAATGATAATCATTTTATGATGGCAGGCCACATCAGTGTTATTACATTCTTTATCATTACTACTTTAAGTGGCAAAGAAAATTAGTGTTTGTTTTATGAGAATGATCTCATTCTTCTTGAACTCAACAGCTTAATGTGAAGTGTGGTGTTAGAAAAATTTTCATTTTACTTCTAGTATTGTTCAGAAATAGAGAAGCTCCTGAAAACTGAATCAATGTTGTTTGAGTGCAAATATTTTATGTATTAATAAATTGAGTTTTGATGCTTACGTTACCGGCATTTTAGGAGATTATCTAACATTCACGCACATACACACATAGACAGGCAAAAGAAAGCGACACAGTAGCATCAAAGTCCACCTTCTCCTATATCCTACTTCCTGTTGCAAGATAGAACATTTTCATGGACTCTTCTTCTCCCTCGATATGGACGTGTTGAGTGTAACTGACACATCTTGTCTTTGCTATGTTCCTTTCAAACGGAATGTAATGTAAAATTAGACTCTTCCTATCTCCAAGAATGTCAATTAAAAGCTCAAATTCAGAGATGATTAATGGTATATGTCCCCACTTTCTAAAAGGAAACTTAGTCACATACTCAAAGGTCTCACTAAAAGGTAGCTAACTGGTCCAGTGATCATCAGCCTCAAGAGCCTATATGAGAGAAGACTGGTTATTCAACAGGGGAGGAGCTTCTTTAAAAAGAATTTCGAAACCCATAACCAGTCTAATGTTTTTTTACTCTCTTTCTTAATTATGAAGATAGAAGAAGACTGCATCTCCTATAATTCAAGCCAACTAAAAGGGTAGTCAAAAGAAGTGGTAATAGAGATTTTGATGGTTTATAAGAGGAGCAATATCTCACTGTCTACCTGAATGTTCAATGAATGACAGAGATGTATAGGCCACACAGGTACTGGAATAGAGGACTCAGAGATATTCTTGGGAGAATTAACAAGAACCCTCTGATATTTGAGGGAGAATCATAGAGATTGGCACCTGGCTGATAAAGTCTGAAGGCAGAGGCTGACTTGAATATCCCTAAGTGGAAAGGAAATTAGAAAAAAGACCATTTGCATTCTGAGGTAGTAGGCAAAGGGTTGAATTTCCATACTCCAGCTCCATAAAAGGCAACTGAATTCGGGTTGCTCAACAAAGCTATCTTCTGGATAAGGTGATATTAGCAGGAGGAGGGAGATCACCACTGTATCAAAACTAAAGGAATATGACAAAGGTCAGTTGGAGAATACAATGGCTGTGTTAGAAAGTGGTTAAAAAGTCCAGAGGAATCTCCATTAATTGTCTTTGAAAGAATCATCTATATACTACTTAAAAGAGCCAGCATTTGAAAAAAAAAGTATATGACTCAACCAAGAGAGAAATACAAATTTAAAAAGGCTAAATTAATGGATCCTTATCTTGATGCTGAAATTTCTCCACACTGCTCAATCTTGGAGGAGCTAAAATCAATAGATGAGGGTAAGGTCCTGGAGCTTGTAAGACTTGAGTGAAATAGATCATGTGTTCACTTCCCTACTGCTATCAGCAAGAAAGCAATGAGGTATGAGAGCAATGGCCGGGATTCATGGAGGTGGGGTTGTGGAGAAAGAGGGAGGCTAACATTTTGAATTTAATGAGAATTTCAAAATTTAACATGAGATTTAGGTGGTACACTTTAATATGTGAAAATAAGACTGCTTTTAAAACTGCTTTATTCAATGGCTTCTGTACTCTCAAGGTCCAACCATCAGAGGTCCAACAATTTTTGGCTCAGCTGTATTTTCTTCTTTAGGAAGATGAAGTTTAGTAATAGTACTGTGGTCATTAGCACTGTTCACAAATTATTTTAGCTATCTACCTTCTCCACAATGCGCTTTGGCCAAAAACTGTATTACTGTAGCACAGTGACAGAAGGCTTAATGGACTTATTATCATTAATCATAGTTATTCTCCACTTCTTTAGTAATCAGGGATGAATATATTGAGAAGATGTCCAGGAATGTCTGGGTCTCCAAGTCACTTGCCATGAATAGATTTCATAGTAAAACACATACCATTAGTATCTCCTAAAACCAACTTGGCTCATTTTGTCCTCTCAGATGTCAACATTAACTTTAATTTTCTTGAATTAATCTTTTTTATTGTTTTAAAAATTAATTAAAATATACCCTACCTCTTTTCTCTCTTTTTTTTTTTTAATTTTTTTTCAAGGTTTATTTATTTTGGGGACAGAGAGAGACAGAGCATGAACGGGGGAGGGGCAGAGAGAAAGGGAGGCACAGAAAGGGAAACAGGCTCCAGGCTCTGAGCCATCAGCCCAAGCCTGATGTGGGGCTCGAACTCACAGACCGCGAGATCGTGACCTGGCTGAAGTCGGACGCTTAACCGACTGCGCCACCCAGGCGCCCCTTCTCTCATTTGTTATGTGACAAATTTCTGTTCTCTATATAATGAATCCTTCATCAATGATGACTCTGAAGCCATATATTCCATAATTAAAATTAACAAATAAAATTTCAGTATGGACATTTTTCTCATAAAGAACCCTTTTGCACTCAAATTGTTTTCATTCATTATTTAAATAAAGTATTTCATAAATATAAAAATTTTAAAATAATATTTAATGAATAGAGTAGAAAAGAAGATATTACAATGGGTATGATATACAGGCTGCTAAAAAAAAAGGCTGGAGTATAACAACTCTTATACATATGTTTTTTTCTAATATATTTGGATGTATATTCACATCTATATGCAGTTATATCATATATGTGCACTGGTGGAAAAATATAATTAAAAACAAAATCTTCTACCAACTCAGAAAACTTCTCCACAAAGGCATAAAAGAAACCAATTTTGTTACTGAATTAGAATTAAACCAGAATGTGATGTGCATCACAGGCAATCTGCTAAGAGATTGCCAAGACAGAGACAAATCTGACACTTTTATCCATGTAACCAGATAGAACTCATTGCATATATGTTCTCAAGATAATAAGAGAACTTGACAACACTGTCACACAGAGCTCATCCTAAATTCACTGAGGTAGTCACCTATGTTTAATTCGCTTACCTTAAAAAAGTAAAAATAAACTTCTCACATATTTATGACAGGAGGCAGTCTTAGAGCCAGGTGGCTTGCTGAAGTTAGGCTTCCATCCTCCCATGGAAACTGGTAATAGGGGGTGCTGTCTCTGAAATGGAATGGAATGGAATGGAATGGAATGGAATGGAATGGAATGGAATGGAATGGAATGGAATGGAATGGAATGGATGAAATGAAATGAAATGAAATGAAATGAAATGAAATGATTACATTTCAATGAGATGGTTCCCAGGCTCTTGAGAAAGGCATTCCTGAGTTGCAACACAGACACAATAAGTCTTATTTAGCTTTTAAGAGAAACTACATACATTTCCAGGACACAGGAAAAGAAGTTACAAGTTATCTTAAGTAAGTACTCTAAGAAAAGGGAGAAAGAAAAGGGAGACATCTCTTCCCTTATTTCCAGCAAGGAGAATCAAGCTTCTCATTTTTAATTTATATTTGCCCTTAGAGTCTATCTGTAAGAACTTTCCTAGCCATTTGCATTACAAGTAACAGCATTTCACCTTTTTTTTTTAATTTTAAGAAAAATAAAGAGTAATTTTATTCTTAAAATATTTTAAGGTTCCAGGCAAAATTAACTTTAATAAATTTATTTCACGGTAATCATTGAAATAGACTTTGCTTTCCCAAATTGTTGTTATGGTCTATTGTCAACAATGCTCATTAATATATAATTAAAAAATACCTCTCAGGGCACCTGGGTGGCTCAGTCAGTTAGGCATCCAACTCTTGATTTCAGCTCAGGTCATGATCTCACATTTCATGAGATGGAGCCCCACGTAGGGGCTCCGTACTGACAGTGCAGAGCCTGCTTGGAACTCTCTCTCTCCCTCTCTCTCTGCCCATCCCCTGTGCTTGTTCTCACTCTCTCAAAATAAATAATCTTAAAAAAAATACCTCTCTAAGCCGAGTATCAGAGTTTCTTATGGCGCAGGATGGCATTTTTATTTTTAGTTAAAAATTTTAAATATAAAAAAGGGAAATTTTATGCCGATGTATTTAATGTGTAAAATTTATGCAAAAATAATAAATGCAAAAATAATAAGTGCAAAAAAGTAATAAGTGATTTTTTTTTTTACAAAATTAACAGTGATGAAACCGGTACTTGGTAGCATAGAATATTACCAGAAGCTCCCCTCGTACCTGTTATTACTCACTATGCTTCATCAAAAGTAACTACTATCCTGAGCTCAGTAACCATAGGTTTCTTGTGCCAATTAATTTTTTGAAATGTATATAAATAGGATATAGGAAACTCACTCTCTTATATCTGGCTTCTTACACTTATAATCATGTTTGGGATTCCATCTATGCTGTGATGTGCAGAACGCAATGTTCATTGTCAGTGTTGAAAGGCAATTCACTGAATGAATCTTTCTGTTATCCTAACATTGATAGATATTTTGGTTATATTAACTTTAGGACTATAATGAATAATGCTACTACCAACATTTCTATATGCGCATTTCTGTTAGGTATATGCTGTAAGTTGAATTGCTAGGTAATAGGATATCAGCTCATTCACCTTTGGTTGATGGTGACAACTATTTTCTAATGTAATTATACCAATCTAACTTTCCTAAAACAGTGTATAATAGAATCAGTTTCTCTATATCTTAGGCAATAATTTTGTTTGTTTGTTTTTCATTTTAGCTATTGTCTTACTCCATTTGGGCTACTAGAACAAAATACCACAGACTAGGTAACCTAAAAACAACAAAATGTTGCTGCTCACAATTCTAGAGAGTGGGCAGACTGAGATCAGGCACCAGGATGATATGGTGAGGGCCCTTTTCCTACTTCACTGACAGCACTCTTCTCATAGTGTCTCTACCTAGTAGAACTGGCTAGAGAGCTTCATGGGGTATCTTTTATAAGTGTATAAATTCCATTTAATGAGATCTCCATTCCCAAGATCATGTCACCTCCCAAAGTCCCTACCTATTAAGATCACATTTGAAGGCTAGGGTTTCATCATATGAATTTGGGGTAGGTTACGGGAGGGACAACATTCACAGAAAGCAGCCACTTTTTGCATGGACAATGGTATTTCATCATAATTTTAACTTCCACTTCTCTAACAAAGTCACAAAAAGATAGAAGTAAAGATACAGATATCCTTTCGTGTACGTTTGCATGTGTATGTGTGTGTGTGTGTGAAGGATTTATTAATTTTTTTCTGTTTTTTTCTTCTAGACTTAAATTATGAATGTAAGTTCCTTTTCAGGGGGTACATACATTGCAATCATCTTCTCTAACTCAGAGACTTGCTTTTCACTCATAGCAGTGTCGTTTGATAAACCAAGTTGTTAATATAGTACAATCTGCCAACTTTCTATATTTTCTGTCTTTAAGAGAAATTTTTTTACTATCCTAATTCATAAAGATATTCTCTCACATTTTACTCTAGAAGCTTTATTAGCTTCATGCTTCACATTTTGATGTGAAATTACTCTGGAATTTTTTTATTCTTCCAAATTTCCATATGGATATCTGACTGTGATTTATTGGAAGGATTATTCTCCCCAAGTGCACAGGAATACCTTTGTCATAATTCAAGATATTATATGTGTATGGGTCTTTCTTTTATAACTAGTCTGTTTCCTTGGTATACTTACTCACTATTACATGTTTACATAGTGTTAGTTACTGTAGCTTTATAAAGTATTTATCAGGAAGCATCTAGCTTTATTCCTCCTTTGGGTCCAACGGATTCTGCTGAGAGATCTGCTGTCCATGTTATTGTTGCTCCTTTGAAAGTTGTCTTTTTTTTGTGTCTGACTGTGATATTTTTCCTATTTGTTTTTTATCACTTTTCCACAATATGTGTAGATGTGCTTTTCCACGCATTTATCCTGATATGGTTCCTTAATGCTTTCTGAATATACAAATTGATGTGCTTTTGTCATTAAAAAGGAAATTCTGAGCCATTAACTCTTTGATGTTGTTTTTGCCCTCATTTCCTTTGCATCTCTTCCCTTCTGCATTTGCCCTGCTTTTATCTAGGCAATTCAGCCTGAATATTTTCTAATAATCTATCTTCTAGTCCATAAATCCTCTCTTCTTGTCTGTCCAATTTAGTTAATACCATACATTGATTTCCTAATTTCAGTTATTGTATTGGTTAGAAAGAGAATTTCCCATTGATTGTTTTCATAATTTACTGTCCTCTGGCAAAATTATTCTTGCCTTCTATTTTCTTAGACACGTTAATCACAGTTAACTTAGAGTTTATATTTGAGGACACTAATTACCCAATCATCCCTATGTCTATTATCTGATTTTCTCCTCTTGGCTATATTTTCTTAATATTCCAGTAGATTTCTAATTGAATAAAGGACACTGTTAATGAAATATACAAAGACTATATATTATATTATCTTTCTCCGAAGAGGGACTATCCCATCTTAATTCAATCATACCGAGCTGGGTTGCAATTTTTTATAAAATACTTGCGTAGGTGTGGTTTCTTGCCCTTACTGTACAATAACTCTCTAGGAGCCCTAAATGATGCTCTGAGGTGTTTACTACTAACAGCCTTAGCAGGTCTTGAAATTCAAAATTTGTCTATTTAGGGCCACTTGAGTAGCTCAGTCATTTCAGCATCTGACTTTGGCTCAGGTCATGATCTTGCAGTTCTTGAGTTCGATCCCAGCATCAGGCTCTGTGCTGACAGCTCAGAGCCTGGTTCCTGCTTCAGATTCTGTGTTTCCATTTCTCTCTGCCCTTCCCATGCTCGCTCTCTCTCTCTCTCTTAAAAATAAATATTTTTTTTAAAAAAATGTCTATTTAATACTGTCAGACCCTAGAAAACTCCACAGATGAATCCAAAGTATTTGCATTTTTCATAAAGCACATGATACTGAACGTGGTCACAGTTTTGACTTCCTGCAGGACTTCTCCCATATGACATTAAAATTTCAAAATAGAAAACTCCCTCTGACACTGTTCTACTTTGTGAAAAAAAATCCAGTATTTCAAAACAAGAGGTAATATAACATCCTGGTTAAAAGTACTGTTTGTAAATCAGGCAAACAAGGTGTGAATCCAAGTTCCATGACGAAATAAATCAATGACTGCTGGTAAGTAACATGTCTGTGACACTCAGGTGTTTTTTGTTGTTGTTGTTGTTGTTGTTGTTAATAAATCACAAATAAAAATAGCAGTCATACATAAGTTATTTATAAAGTTAAATGTTGTTTAATTTTAAATTATTTTTTAGTTAATATACTATGATTCACATACTTTTTTATGTGTGGGAATACAGTGAACAAAATAGTCAATAAACCCTGCCTTCAATGGAGTATACGTTCTAATGTGGGAAAGAGCCAATAAATACCAATAGACAAATAAATATGGTATGTCAGATAGTTGTAGGTGTTATGAAGGAAAATAGGTGACCATTATTCTGAAAGTCAGTCATCCTGCTCCCAGGCACTCCTTAAAATTGCCTAACTGGCTGATGAACAAATTGACCATGGCAGAGTGGGAAGAGAATATAGGATTTCCACTCACCAGAAGAGAGCTGGTTACAGCCACTGGTGAGTACCAATGTGCCCACAGCAGAACCCAACACTTAGCCCCTATTATGGCACCATCCCCTAGGATTAGCAGTCAGGTCAACTGGTGGAAGAAGCAACAATCTGTTCTCACTAGAGCAGACATTTACTCTAGACCTAGATTTTTCTTCACTGTCTGCAATGCTTCCACCAAAGTCACTATCCATGGACTTACAGAATACCAAACTAACCAGGTTGATGTTATATACAACATCATTTTTGATCAACCAATGAAGTTTGCAAATGAGCCCAGTTCCATAAATTCAATGAATGTATATTTTCCTTATCATCTAGAAACACCTGGCTTGATAAAACAGAATAATTTCCTTATGAACTCTTACTTATGGTTATATCTCAGTTGTACAACCTTGCAGATGTGGGACATTTATCTCCAGGATGTGATACTTACTCTAAATCAGTAACACATATATGTTTCTCCCATAGCCAAGATTTATGGATCTGTGAATCAAAGGGTAAAAATGAAAAGTACCTCCTTTCACTATTACTACAAGTGATCCATTAGGGA